TTTTTACTGCTTCTGGCCAAGCTCTCTGGCATCTTATAGGCACTCAATAATTCCAACCCTGCATCAGTAGTTGTAGTAAACGGCCACGATCAGTGTCTCCTTTATGGTCTTTTTTGTTAAATGACAACATAATCCTTCTCTCTTCCAAAGCAAGTTTTTTGTGATTAGTATAGCTATCTCCTAAATTATCCTTGCCTCCTTCATATCCTTGACTCCTTCACAGATGCAGCATCTCTCATCATGCCAATCACATTGTTAGGATGTATGCTATAGTTGATTGATAAAATATCGATGATTTCTTAGTTAATTTTTCATTGCATGGGGATAACATATTCATATGTTGCCCAGGGATGGAGGCATTTCTAACCAGCCAACACCATGCATGTGTATGTGGACTACCTTTATGCTGGTATTCAAATCTTAACCAATAAATAGTCTTTGGCTTTTGAAATACTCTTATAAAAAACTTTCATAAATTTTAGTACATGATTGCATGTAAAAACCAATTAGCAAGACACGGATTAGTCCTTATAATGTTCGTTCAACCATGTTATTAAATATTTGTTTTGCTTACTTTCCACTTTCAATTTTATGTTGCATCTCTGTTGTCGGGACTAAATTAGAAGCTTCCATCATAGTATATCACATGGCTTCTTTTGTTGTTATGGTAGAAATGCTAACAAATACATATGGTACAGCCAGCTTCACAGCATATGTATTCATGATAGAATCTGGAACAAAGAACTTATGTGCATTATTCACCGGCCAGGAATCTTTAAGCTTTACATCGAATTTTAGTTCACTTTTTTTTCTTCAAGTCCATCATTATATATGAATGCTGACAAGGTGGCATTTCTTGCATCTATCATATCATAAAAGTGGTAAACATATGTCCCAGGTTTGAGTCTTTTCTATTTACCACTAGCATTACGATCGCTTGCAATAGTACATGGCGTAAGTACACTAGGCAAAACACTTGATGAGATCTCATTTCTGACATTTGTGTCAATAAGAGAAATTTCCAGTATTGCTGGATACAATAAATCCACAAGAAAAAAGGACCTAGTAAAATTTAAGTAAAATACAAATAGAGCACTAATTTCCAGACAGCAAAAGAACATGATTCCAAGTCCTAATCTTTGCATCCCAGACCATTCCCCAGCCTACAGTCATTGGGGTGGACGTAGGCTGGGGAATGGTCTGGCTAGTGAGACTAATAAGTACCTGGCCTAACTTCTTGAGCTAGATCTTCCATCATCAGGTGAAGCAGATTGTTTACTGACTTTACTCTTTGCTAGTAATCACGTGCACGCATGCAGTCATAGATATTAGAGTAAATGAAAGGGATTGGAAACGGGGGGCGTAGGCTGGTTGATGTTGCTATTGGTTACCAGCCCAATACCAGGTTGATTTCCCATCTCCTCCATTAGTGAGGCTGTACTGCAAGGACTTCAAAGGATATTTATGGAGATCCAAGGGGACGCTTACTTATGATATACCTACCATACCATATAGAAAGTGTTGGACTACCTGCAGCAAGGTTTTTACTTATGCAACGCTATTTTGCAACGAGTTATAAGTACAACAAAATTTTTTCACTTTTTGCCCTTTTTCTGTTGTAACAAACTCATGCTTCATGGATTCTAACTCTAACTAGTATCATTCCATATGCAAATGAAAGCTCTTTCATATGATTATAAAGATCTTGTATCTTACTCTAGCTTGTTTTCAAAAAAGGAATTATAGTGACAAAAAATACATTTTATGGTTTTAAAAGTGCCATAACATGAACATAGTAAAATTATTTATACAAAAGAAAACAGAATTATAAAGAGGAAACATTAAGCTTCTTGATGCATTAATTTCACTTGCATAGGAACACTTATTCGCGAGATATTGCTCCTAAAAGAAAGGAAATCAAGGGTAAATTGTGACAAAAAATTTCAACAAGCCTCTGTCAGCCTAGCAGCAATACAAATGAATGGAGGTTAGGCTACACCCATGCTTCTGTTTCCAATCCCTTTCATTTACTCTATTATCTATGTTGCATCTGAGCATGCGCAGCCACACCCCTTATGATAACGCGGCGCCCATAATAATTAAAAACATGGCTCCCATTGAAGAGCACATGCTTGTGTAGGCAGTGATAGAGAGTGCAGTTTTTCCCCTTTGGTAAACTTTTCAGAAGTTGTGGACTTGCGCATGGCCAGTTGGAGTAGAATGGTATAAAAATTAGCCCTGTAGCATTCACCAAACACCATGATACCCTCCATTAACTGGATTGACAGAAGATGATGAAGACGAAAAAAGTGGAATGAACAAAACGGGAAATTTGCCGAGTTTTCACTTTCCTCTTAGACAAGGTTTAGAGCCACGCTAGTGGTACCATTGGAGTCCTCTGGTCAAGATAAGGTCCTCTAAGAAGTCTGGTAAGCATAGAGCTGGTTTTCCCGGTAAAGCAAGGCTGCAAAAAAGTTGTGGCAGCCATTTATTTTGGGAGTGAATTCTACTTAGTAACGCAGTAGCGTTACTAATAAGTGAACTATCTTTATGCTGGTATTCAAATCTTAACCAATAGTCTTTGACTTTTGAAATACCCTTATAAAAAACTTCCTGAATTTTAAGACATGATTGCATCTAAAAAATCAATTGTTAAGACACGGAGTAGTCCTTATAATGTTCATTCAACCTGGAATTGGTGGTAGGATCACATATTGTCAGCTGTAACTTGCTTAACTTTACTGTGGAACAGCATCAACAATTTCACCTCTTTTTTCATACTCTTTTCTGCAACATCAATGGAAACATTTGTGCTGGAATTAGTGGTAGGATAATAAAATGAAATGAAAGTTCACATAATCATGTTTACTTTACAATGGATAGTAGTAATAGACTAGGGGTCCTTATAGCACCTCAAAGTGATGGGAGATCAACAGTCTGACTCAGGCGCCTTATAGGCAGAGCTTTTGGACAAGCAGAAGCAACGTGATCCGGACTGGAAAAAGGGCTCCATTGCAGTTTAGGTCCTACCAAATTAATTAATTAATTACATCAATTAATTGAGTGACGTCACTTCCGCAATAATAATTTTTAATTTAATAATAACAAATAATTAATAAAATAATTATATTAATTTTTTTAGTTAGGGATTTGGGTTTAGTTTTTTTTAGTTTAGTTTTAGTTTAGGTATTAGGGTTTAGGGTTTTGGGTTTAGTTTTTTTTAGTTCAGGGTTTTGGGTTTAGTTTTTTTTAGTTTAGGGTTTTGGGTTTTGGGTTTAGTTTTTTTAAATTAAAGTTTATAGTGGATATTGTTCTTTAATAGCATCTATTATAGACTCAAAATGGTCTGTATCATTGAATTTCCTTCTCCAAAGGAACTCTTGTAAATAAGTCGAAAAAAGCTCACTAGAAGTGTTCATTACTCCTGTGCTTCGCATCATCCTTTTAACTTGAGACCATGTGCTCTCTATGGATTGTGTATGAGCACCATTAATAGGATTTATAAAGTTCAGAGAATAGTTGACAGTTAAGTGAATCATTCCACTTGAAGCTAGAGAGGAATACGCTCTCCATTTGTCACTTATAATGGTGGTACTAGGTCTGACATGTTTAAAAATTATTGGTAGCAATGTTGCTGCTGAGCGATCAGGAACTTCAACCATAAAACATTCTCCTGTACCTTGTTCTATCCCACCAAAAACCCAATGACCTTCCACATATCTTCCTCTATTATATTTTCTTCTTCCAATTTTCGATTCGTCAATCTCTACAATCGCTTCCAGGGCTACCAATGGTTGTTGGGTGGTCAATGAAATATTGTGCACATACATCTCTTAGAAAGTTGAACCAATCAACGATAGTATGCTCATAGTGGCCTGTTTCATGCATAGTGACATGAATTGTTGCTTTCCTGGACCACCAATATATTATGTCCACAATTTCGTTAAGCTTCAAGTGAATTCCGGAGAAGAATGATTCATTTTGAACAGAAATAACAGCTTGACACCCCTTTTGAGGACTTCTCCAGATTTTTGATTCCTTTTTGGTGACAATTCTACAAGGTGTACTGCATTTCTTGCAGTTCATGGCATTGGCTAAGAGATTATTATTCATTAGCCATATCATAGCTTTGTCTTCATTATATGTGATAGAAGCATAAAGAGACTTGTAATTCATCATACTTTTTAATAATAATAAATTAAAAAATACATAGCAACATTACATTAGCAACAAACAATTAAAAATTATTATTGCGGAAGTGACATCACTCAATTAATTGATGTCATTAATTAATTAATTTGGTAGGACCTAAACTGCAACGTGCCTGGAAAAAGTGCTGCATATGTGAGAATATTTGCATTTGATGTGCTGGCAATAGCCATTATTAAACTTCTTGCATGCCTCTTTGGAGGGGTATGGGTGTACTCTCCCTGACTTTAAGGAGGGAGCAGAGGCCTTCCTATCCCAGGTGGCTGACACACAGTCCCCAGTTTTATGGTCAGACTGCAAACAGAGAGAACAGCATGAGACATCCTGTGAAGCAACGGGATGGAGAACTGAAATGGAGGGTTATACTTAAGTCCATTCTAGGAGAGTGCCTTGTGGCAAGCTGTTGACAAAACTGGGTGTCGTAGTTTTGCCAACCTTAACCCCCCACGTTTCCAGTAGGGCTGCAAAATAATTTGGCTATAGGTGACAACCTGTTTTGTCAAGAGATGGTCAGCTATGAAGGAAACCAAGCAGAAAATCCACGTGAGAGGATTGTTAATTTTTTCATTTTGGATGTGGCTGGCAGCAGTTGGGAAGAAAAAGAGGATACAGCAGAAACTATGCTAGAGTAATTCAACCTTTCTTTGAAATGAGCTTTAAACTTAAGCAGATTCACATCAATAAACAGCAATGCGTCCTTGATAGAACTAGGATACTCTATATTGAAGGCATAATCAATTGCTTGCAACGAAAATATGGCACTTTTCAATGAAGAACATTCATAATACAGCTTCTGTTCAATCGCAATAAAGAATTGGGGTAGAACTTACTGTCAACATATTTTATAATATATGAGTGATTATTGCTTGTGTCCACAGCTTCTTCAGGTGATGTACAATGCTACAAAAATTGATTAATTAAAAGTACAAAATAAATATTTTAGGGTGATGCATCTAAAACAAAATGGAATGTCCACAGCATCTGAGGTAATCCTTAATTTTTTTTCTGACTTTGTTAGAAAATAAGCAAGGCACCTGAGAGCAGTCATTTCTGTTCACAGCAGCATTTATCAATTAGTATACATGCAATAAAATCTCAAGTACCTGTATTTTTGTCTAAATCACATAAGACGTGTTTCAAACCAACTGTCTCCTTGCAATGTGTTGCTTATTCAATTAATCTATGCTGCTATATAGCCCATGCAGTTCCTACTAAATGTTTCTTTTTGACATTGTTTTTCAACAGTCATTTTGAAGTCAAGGACCATCTAAATTAAGATAATCCTTTTGAAATTATTAAAATTATAACTAACATATGTAGCTTTTCTCAATAGAGGATATTTGTCACAATCTGATACTAAACATGAATTTTGATAAATGTAGGGGGCAGGGTATCTGGTGGCCTGTACTAGTATACCTGTACTTTGAAGGTAAGTAAACAGAAATGGAAGCTCACCTCTCATTAGTCCATCAAATACAGTTTTGACCTCCCTCCTTACGTTATCCTCAGTCATTTGATCATGCATAAAGACCCATCATTCTAAAGAGACCCAAACTGAACAGATGGTCATGGCTACTGTACTGCCATTTGGTATTAAGTGAGAAGTGGTAACCTTTCCTGGTTTTCTCTCTCTGACAACTACTAGGACTGGATAGAGGGGGTGTGGAATCCATTGACTGCCTTCTGAACTGCGACAAAGCAGTTGTAACTAACTCATCCTCTTCCAAACTATAGTAATGACTTGTGACAATCCACCAAATTTTTTCTGAGTTGACTGAAGGCATCTATAAAAATTGTGCAAAAGATAATCAGGCAATAGATAAAGGAAAAACCTTTAAAATCTTGATTTCACGATCACTATTGCATTCAACATGAGGTGACGTAGTTTGCACTCTGTCATAAACGATAGGTTTACCTATAAACAATAAAGGATTGAACCTCCAAATAAGCAGCTAGTTGCCATAGTTGCTCACAAACTAGACCAAAGTACGACATGCAGTACAGGGACTATGGTTAAATTTCATGAAAACAAACTTTTCTGAACCTTTCCAATTGTTTCCGAATCTCTAGTATCCAAAATGGAGGATGATGTCTGATATTCTTGCAGTAATGGAACCATTGGAGCACTATAGAAGATTAAAGAAACCTAAAGATATCATTATGTATTAATTTGCACATTCAGCATTACCATAACATGCACTAATGTCATCATTTCATCATTGCAGTGTACACATTGCAATAATTTGTAACTTACTCATAGCTTGATACAGGCTTGTCAGGAGATCGAGTCATTAGCTAGAGGCACATCAGCATTGATGGCATCCTCATCCTAAAAACAATTTAAAAGCAGAGTTGTTTCAGTGACCTCAATCACAACCCAGTGCTACACGATGTAGACAATGACTATGAGAACATTGACCCAATGCGCTACTTTGCATGTATATTGGCCATAAGTGAAGAACGGACAATTGTAGCCAGGTCATAAACATAAGATTAACTATCACTGTAACAAAAGCATTTAGGAGAGGGTAATATTAATGGAAAAAAGGCACAGTTTAAGGCAGAGACAGAAAAGGTCAGGTTTAACTTTTACATAAAGAATTTATGTACCATGCCACATCACTGTAATAATGATTAGTGCCAACAGCTAACATAATGACTAACAAGCATTAAATGAAAATGAAACTAAGTAGAGCTAGGAAAGGTATGTGAAACTCACAACACAAGTCAATCCTGACTTAACTGGCAATTTTGGTGATAGACCCTTGGCCAGCTCCATTGATTACAGCTAGAATATTTTGCATTGGTACTACCTTAGGGTGGGTATTAATTGCGACACTTAATTTTAGCCAGTGTACTTATAAATGCTAATTCAACCAGCCGCTAATAATAATTATTGTACTTGTGTCAACAAGTACACAGGATAGGCAAGATCTGTATCAAGATATAGTCAGTTTCAGTTGAGAAGAAACCACCACCACCCCCTTTAACTTTTTTGTTACTTAGGCTAGCTATTTGAAACTTGGTATACTTACATAACAGGTTCTTCTGAAAATCTGTACCAATTTTGGAGTCTCTAGGTACTCTGGAAGGTTCTAAAAGAGTTTTTCTGGTGCAGATGAAAGAGAGCTGCCATTACGTATTATTTCTAATTGATGACATCACAAAAGCGTCATGCATGCATAATATTTGCATGTCATTAACACGTGGTTAAATTAATTTTTCACACCTTTTAATAAAATTTAATTTTTATTTAAAAATGATTAATTTCTCAATGAAAAATAGTAAATATAGCAGTGTTCTTGCACCCTAGACAAGGGTAATGGCCAGTACCATCGCGAATAGGTGACACTGCATCACTGGCCCCTTACCCTATCACCCTATGAGGCTGCTATGTTGAGAAACGACAGCATTTTCACAAAAAGGCCATGGAAGATTAATCGACAAATAAAGCAGGTATTCACTCACAAGCCCTCTACTGCATTAAGCACAGAGGGCTGTTTTAGTCCTCTAGCATTAAGCAGTGGACTGTTTCCCCACCTAATTTTAACGGTATTCTTCAAGTGGGTATTAACTCACAAGCCCTTTACTGCAATGAAGCAGTGGACTGTTTCCCCATTGTTTAGCCTCTAACTATCAACATCTGAGTCATCTGAGCTATCAGAATCACTGATGTCACTCTCCTCCATATCAAATTCATCTTCATCATCTTCTTCATCAACATGAATGATGAATTCTTCAACTTGCCTCCAATTTTCTAATCTATCAGCTGCGAAATACGCATCTTCCACTTTTTCATGAGTGTGTTTTATTAGATCTGACCACCTTTGGGGAGTTACTTCATGAAATCCTTCATCTACTAGTTTTGTAGTGCTGTTAGTGTGAAATCTTTATTGTTACTTTTAGCATAATGTTTGACTTGTGACCATGCCATTTCTATTGGATTTTGTTCACAATGATAAGGAGATAGTCTTACAACTTCATGTCCTTCTGCTCTAGCCATTTTGTCTGTTACATATTTTTTATATTTTTGCTTATGTTTCTTAATGAGAGCATACAGATTTGCTTAATACATCTAGCCGGTAAAAGAATACCATGATTTGTTAGCCAGGTAATCATATCTCCTTTTCTCCAATTGCTAGTGGGCAAAACTTCTTGCCTTCTGGAATGGTATGATGCATTATCCATCACAATTATTGAGTCTGGTGGGATATTCTTCAATAGTTTATCTTCAAACCACTTTTCAAATATTTGATGGTTCATTTCTTCG